TCTAATTTACCTACTCGTATATCCAAACGAAGAGAATTAATAAATTCACATTCGATATTGAACATTAGCTAGATATTTCAAATTCTTCATTACTTTGCATATATTTCTTTAATGAAGTATCTAGAACTTATCTCTAATCTACTCATATTTCCAAACGAAGAAAATTAGTAAATTCACATTCGACATTGAACATTAGCTAGATATTTCAAATTCTTGCACCACTTGCCCCCAACACTATGAGGCAGAGATGGAGAAGAAAAAACTATGCGTTTTTCTTACAATTTTTTCATTATCTCATACTGTTGACGGCAACTATACAATGATTTATACTAATATTAGATAGATTACCCTCTGGGACGCTATCGGAAATACTGATTTTATTCTAGGTGAACAGTAAACAGGAGCCCCTTATTACTTCAAATGAGCAGTTTTATCAAAATAAGCAAAAAGGTTTTTGAGTAATTAATGAAAAACTGATTTTTTCTAAAAACTTTGACACCCTATATCTCTTAAATAAGGCAAGTTAGGAAACATGCTTATGGAAAGAAGGAGACTTATTTTTGCCTAAAAAACTGATCCTGAACGTTTGGCGGTTTAATCCTGGGTCACCCTGTAGATGATGTCACAGAAATGTAATTTAGATAATACAAGTGACTCACACAGTAGGATTTTAACTGATCTATCTAAAACATGGCGAGATTGAAATATGAGTTTTAGAGCTCCATAGGCTTTTTGTAAGCAGCTACTAATATGATGCGAGAATATCAAGTTCTCATCAAACCAAACTCCCAAATTTTTTACTTTCTCACTAAATTGTATAGAATTACCATTAATTATAATATTTGATCTAAATACATTCATTATACAGGGTTACTGGAAATTCGATATATTCCTTTGGAGATATGATAGGGAAGGTGGTAGGGAGTAAATTAAGCCCGAATTTGCATTATGCAATAGTTGATAGTTTAGTTAATGACATTACAGAAATGATTTGGATCATAGATAAATGGGCGTGTACACCTCAGTAGAACTTTCAACTCAAATTCATAATGATACTTTTATACATAAATAATGATTGACGACATAATTCGATCGAAAAATTAACTGGAATGTTTTATTTTTGGACATAAATAATAGTCCCTTCTGAAAACGGACCCTCTTATGACGTAGAAACCTCATCTCGCCATAGTTAAAAGAAAATACCAAACGCCCGACGGAGACTGAGGCAACTGATATATTAATTCTTTCAACTGTGATCTCGGGCTAATTCACTCTGTAAGAAATCATGTATCATTCATCTCTGTCTGGAATAGTCTTGTTTCAGTATCAGGGTTTTGACGTCACATCATCGCCTCGTTTTCAGAGGTCCGAAAAATCGGGGATTTCAATAATTTTTTATAAAACGTAGGGAGCTCACTGCAAGAAACGGTTTGCGGTGGTGAGCTAGTTTGGGCGAGTTCTATCGAATCATGAAATAATTTTTTTGTGATATAAGCCCATTGTAGATACAAAGTCGAATTTTTGGTTATGGAAAGTGAATTTTAACCACATTTTAGCGGTTATTTTTAGGAAAATCTCTAAGCCACATTCATAAAAAATTTTTAAAACTTCCTAAAGGGAACTAGCTATCTAACTGGCTACAAATGAAAGTACAAGTTCTTGATACGGATTTGTTATTTCAAAGGAATAGTTTTAAACACAATATAAAATGCCTATCAGTATTTATTTTCTGCAGTTTTTATTTTCGTTTATTTGCTCGAGGCATCCAAATAGCATAACAAATGTTCATAACCTCCATCATTGGGACGAAGAAAACCCTCGTTCAACAAGGAAAACTAGTTTTTAACGGAAGTTTTCTGTTAATGTTTTGATGAGACTCATTGACAGTTATTTAATAGGATCACATTTTCTCCTAGACAATTTAAACAGGAAAATGTATGAACATTTTCTGCGGCATGATGTTCAGGAGCTTCTTGAGGATGTTTCTATCGCCATCCGAGGACGGATGATATTCCAACAAAATGAATGTTCAGCGCATTATCGGCTGATCGTTCGGCAGTTTTCAGATGAACGTTTTTTGAACCGTTGGATTAGAAGGTCAGGTCGAATAGATTGGCCGGCGCGAAGCCCTGACCTAACCCCTCTTGATCATTATGTGTGGGGTCATATTGAAGCGCTAGTTGATGGAACCCCAGTAAATACCCAGGAAGAACTCATACAAATGATAACCGCACAACACTAAAGTTATACTTTTATTAATTGAACATCTAATATATAAAATTCTCCTGTTCCGATCACGGTGTTAGTGGTCGAACTTCTCCGAAACAGCTCGACAGATTCGTATGAAATTTCTTGTGCGTATTCGGTAGGTATGAGAATCGGTCGTTATCTTTTTTTTTAAATCGAAAATTCAAGATGGCGGATCCAATATGGTGGACGAGTATTGTTATCCGATTCCATTCAAAATTGGTATTTGGGGGTTTTCGCGGGGTCGGATATTATGATTTTTTCGTCAAATTTTGGCAATTCAAGATGGCGGATAAAATATGACGGACGAGTTTTGTAATTATGGTCAGATTTCATAGGGGGTTTTGGTTCTTGAGGTCGTAGATTAAGATTTCTTTATCAAAATAAGGAAATTCAAAATGACGGATCCAATATGGCGGACGAGTTTAGCAATTATGGTCAGTTTCCATTCAAAATTGGTATCTGGGGGTTTTCGAGGTCAGAGATTATGATTTTTATCAATATTAGGAAAGTCAAAATGTCGGATCCAATATGGCAGACGAGTTTTTCATGTATGATCAGATTCCATTCAAAATTTGTATCGTTTTTTTTTTTGGAATTTCAAGATGTCAGACCCAATATGGCGGACGAGTTTTGTAATTATGATCAGACTCTATTTAAAATTGGCATCTGGGAGTTTTCGGGGTCTGAGATTATAATTCTTTCGTCAAAATTTTGAAATTCAAGATGGAGGATCCAATATAGCTGACGAGTTTTGTAACCATGATCCGATTCCATTCGAAATTTGTATCTGGGGGATTTTGGGGGAGATTATGATTATTTCATCGAAATTAGGAAATTGAAGATGAAGGAGTTTTGTAATTATGATCAAATTCTAATCAGAATTTGTATCTGGGGGTTTATGGGGTCGAAGATTATGATTTTATTCTTTAAAATGAGGAAATTCAAGATAGGGGATTCAATATGGAGAGAGAGCTCTTTAATAAATAGTTATAGTTTGAAAAACCATAATGAAACACGCTTTTATGAATAGTCAAACTCAAGGCCAAACTGAATAGAAGTATAAAATTGATAGTATAGTTTGAAAAACGAGTAGATTGTCGAACTTAAAAGAAGTAGCCAATAAAAATAGTAGTTTGGAATACTAATGAAACACGACTTCATGGATAGCCTAACTAGAAAGCAGTAGAAAACAATTTAATAAAAGTGTGTTGATGAATATTCAACTAAAAGAATATTTTCTAGAAATAAATGTATCAAAACAACGTTTGCCGGGTATCAGCTATCATAATAAATAGTACTTTGAAAAACTAATGAAACCCGTTTTCATAGATATAGCCAAACTGAAAAGAAGTGAGTAGAAAATAAAGAGTAATTTGAGAAAATGAAATGATATTATAGAGTGCCGAACAAAAATAAGTAGAAAATAAATAGAATAGTTTGAGAAACTGAAGAATCCTGCTATTATGGATAGTCAAACTAAAAAGAAGTAGAAATAAAGTAATACAAGTTTTCTGATAATAATTGATCCAACGGAAGGATGTGCTGACTGGGCTTGTCTAGTTCGTCTGATTGGTATTGCTAGTGAAGGGATGATAGCAGAGATTCCCGAAGAACATTTCCCGTGGAAGTATCGATCAAAAAAGTGAAAGGTCGCATAGTGGTGATATTCGAAATTATAGTTCACTTTATCTCTCAGGTAGTCCGGTACAGTACCATTGCTTATTTTGAATACAAAAATGAGTGCCTGGTACAATAAAAAATCTTTAACTGGCAACCATTCTAGTCTGTTCAACATTGTCGTAATAGGAGTGTGTCTATTGCATGAAAGGATTATGCGCATTGATCGGTTCTGTAGTTTTTGAAATCTATATATTTGATTTTGGTTTAGTAAATACAAAATAGTTGAGCAGTAAGTGAAGTGGGGAAGTATGATAGTGTTGTATATAATCCTTTTGGTCCATTGATTGAGATATCTTGAACATCTATAAAGAAAGTTTACTTCAAAAGGAATTGTTTTTATTAGAAAATCTGCATGTTCTTTGAAAGTTAGTTGATAATCAACCATAATACCAAGGTATTTGATTTTTTCTACCCGCTCGATTATTTCTTCACCAATTTTTATCTCCATTTTCTCCTCAAGAAATTTATTATAATTTATTTGATTAGCAATGAGCATGAATTTAGTTTTTTTACCATTGATTTTCAAAAGATTTCCACAGCACCATTCTTGTATTTGATTTACTGAATTGTTGAGAGCTTGTACCAAAAGCGCTGGATCTGATGCAGAGAAATAAATTAAGGTGTCATCAGCAAACAAGTGGATTTTACAGTTTCCTGCTGCTTCGACGATATCATCAATGTATATTAAGAACAATAAAGGTCCATGAAAGAGTGTTGCTGATGGAAATACCGAGCATAGATATGGTGGGCTTGGTGGGGATGGTGGAGCCAGACATTACAATATCGGGCATACTGAGTTCCGCCTTTCTAGAGAAAATGCAGGCTTGAGTTTTGGTGGCGTTGAATTCAACTAGGTTGTTTGTTGACATGCAACGTCCTAAAGAGAAAGAATGTCAACAAGATGAGTGGTTAGCCTTCTAAAGACCGAGGCGTTACTGATGGCCCACCCTGTAGAATGAACTCGAAATAATCTGAAGTTTAGTTGCTAAGGTAACGATAGGAAATACAGGCTTCATATTGATCGAAAATGTTTGGTGTAAAATTTTCAAAATAATGCGTTTTTTACCCACCATCAGCCGGTCGACGGGGTCGTCTTCCATGTGTTTCGTCCAGGGCCGGCCTCTGCGGACACTTTTCACTCTTTCCGGGGCGTCCATGCCGCCAGCAAGCCATGTGGATTCTATTCTCGGCTCATAGTCGATCTGGAAATTCGAGTATTCTTGAGTAAATGAAGTAAAAAGTTGACTCTTATTGAATGAGTCATTCTAAAATGAAAATCAGAGCATAATCATAACATAATTGTGAAATACTAACTATAGGAGAAGGATCCAATGCTTTCAGTTCTCATAGGAAATGATAATTTGTCATCCCGGGGGATTGAAAAAATGCGGTATGTCGTAGATAGTTTCTTGAGCTTACATGAATTCACCAATGAAATAAGTGCAATTTATGTTTGTATCTGGTGGATGATTGAAATGAAATGTTGACATTTTGATTTTGACTAATTTTGAGGTTATAATATAATATAATTTTGCGACGGTGAGATTTTTGTGTATTGTATATTTACTATATTTCCTCTGATCGAAATGAATATGGGTACACACAATATTAAATTCAAAAACTGCATGCCAACTCGCGAATTTATAGATAGGGGTGGTATATTTTCTAAATCTCAAATTGATTATTTCGCCACAAATATCGATTATTTGTCATTTGAGGAAAAATTCGAACCTTTTCATATAAGTGACCACCATCGGTTGCTATTCACTTTGAATATAGATAATCCTTCAACCAATTCGAAATCAAAAACTATTATTGAAAAAAGAATCTGCAGAGATTATAACATGAATCAACTGCGACATTTTCATTCTGCTGAGAACTATAGAGCTGTATATGATTGTACTCCGGATGTTGACCTCGCATACGAGAATTTCTTTCAAATTATTGCTTACAGTCTTGATCTAACATGCCCGTCGAGATATATAACATACAATAAAATATCAAATTCAAAAAATAATACATGGATTTCTGAATAGTTGAAAATCGAGAGCAGACAGTTGAAAGATTTTTATAGGATTATCAGAAATTCAAATGACCAATTCTTATGGAGCGATTATAAAGACAGAATGAAAAAGCACAAGAAAAACATAAAAAATACGAAAAAAGATTACTACCAAAGTAGATTAGTGAATAAGAGTGATGCACATGAGACACAAAAAGAAGTATGGAAAATTGTCAATGAAAAAGCAGGGAAAAATTCATCTAACCACTACCCCAAAAAAATTATCATAGACAATGAAGTAATAAAAGACCCTAAATCAATCTCCAACAATTTTGCGAAGTATTTTTCCCACACAGTCAGCGAAAATATCACCAAACATTTGGGAAATGATGCTGGAAGTACTTTCTATTTTCTTCCCGTTGTCCCTGAAGAAGTGCTTACATCAATTAAACAATTGAAAAATACATCCTCAGTAGGTTTCGACTGCCTGTCCACAAAAATCATCAAACCAATAGCAGACTTCATTTCTGAACCATTATCATACATCATAAATCTATCCATTGAGAAACAAGTTTTCCCAAATATGTTGAAAATTGGAAAGATAATTCCTATTCACAAAAACAGTGACCATTTCTCAATAGCAAACTATAGACCTATCACAATTCCTTGTGTTATCAGTAAGATCATTGAAAGATGCATATATAACAACTTATTCCCTTTTTTTATCAAATATAAAATAATAACAGACTGTCAAAATGGCTTTCATCCTGGTAGATCAACGGAGGGAGCAGCGGCAGACTTTATGGAATATGTGTAGAGTCTCGTAGACCAGGGCAAGTATGTGGCTGCACTCTTTTTTGATTTATCTAAAGCCTTCGACTCTATTAATTTCGACATTGCCTGAGAGATCAGATATGTACAGTGTTGACCTTGGAGTTCCACAAGGCTTGGTCCTAGGTCCGCTAATCTTCCTATTATTTATAAACGATCTACCATTGCACGTGAAATCTGAATGCATAGTCTTATTCGCAGACGATACATCTATCGCAAAGGATGCCGATAACCTTTTGGAACTCCAAGATGAGCTGAATTTAGTTGCCAATAGGTTCACAAATTGGTGTAAAAATAACAAACTACTTGTCAACTCTGAAAACACTGTTCTCATTCAATTTTTGGGAAAAAATGCGTCGAAAAACCTCTGAATGTTACTGTGAATGATGCAGTCATGGCACCTTCAGATGTCACAAAATTCCTTGGTACATATATAGACCCAGGACTAACTTGGTGCAATCACATCGACTACGTGTGCAAAAGACTGAACACAAGTTTTTATGCCATATTGCAGCTTAAGAGTGTTTTGGATAAAAAATCCTTGATAAATGTGTATTATGCTATGGTACATTCAGTGCTGAAATACAACATAATTCTGTGACGTGCCAGTAGTGACCTAAGTAGAGTATTTGTTGCACAAAAAAGAATTATTCGGCTAATATTCAACCTCAAGATATATCCAGAGCTTAATTACCTTCATTAAGAAAAATGAAGCTTCAATATCAAATAATGGTCAACATCATAGATATCCGACAAGAAATGGGGATTTATTAAAAATGTCGAAGCATAGAACCAAACTTTTCGAAAAATCACCCATTTTCATAGGATCTAAAATTTTCAACTGTCTGCCCATCGATATCAGGTCTCTATCAAATCCGAAAAGCCTCAAGCAAAAGACGAGACAATTTTATTCCATTGACGATTTTATCAATCATAAAAAATACATTATAAATAAATAAGATGATGTATTCTGTATATATTTATATATTTGCATATATTTTCATGTCATTTATATACTATTTTGTTACTACAGTTTGTTTGTTATTTATTGATACTTCATGTGAATGTATAATCATGCTTTTTTCATGGTTTTGTTGACTTTTCCTATACCAATGTAAATTGGTCTATTGGATGAATAAATATTCTATTCTATTCTATACTATTCTATTAAACAAACACGAGGTGGTAGTATTAGCAAAGAGCAGAAACGACTTTTAATAGAAATAATGGAGGCCTCTGAGGACTTGAGGAAAGGAAAATTTCACCCCCATTCCACTTATAAGGATTCTAAAGTACCTATCAATTCTCTAGTAATGTCGTCGGACAAACGACCAACTTTAATGAATTCTGGAGCAGACAAACACTCGAATGGGTCCCTTCTAGGCAAAAACCTTCTTCTTGGTCTTCTAGCAAGGATTTCAGCCACTTTCAAATTTTGTAATGCCTCTAGATGATCTATTTCATCTATGATTGCCATGTTTTGCAATACATATGTTTTCCCGATTTTTCACTAGGTTCCAGTTCCCATCACAAAGGAGAATAACTTCGTATTTCATGAGTGCATCTTATGGGAAACATGTTGTTCCCATGGATATCGCCATGGGAAGCAGTTCTCTTGAAATGTGTAGGAATACTTTCCCATACAATAGTTCAAGGACACATCATCTCGAATTTCCATGGGAAATATCGAGTTTTTCCAATGGAAACAGATTCCAACGAATTCGAGAATCGGGCCCCTGGTGTTAAAGGAATCTATTATACAAGCCATAACTCCTAGAATATCCGGTGTATCAAAATTTAATAACTAACTAATAACTCCAATTAACTTGAAATTTGGCAGGTGTTCATAATTTCGGTGACAATACATTATGGAATTTTTGTTGAAAATAAAAAAAAATGGCTGCTCCAAGATGGCGGACAAGATTTGGTCCGATTCCATTCAAAATTGGTGAGTGGAGGTTTTTGAGGTCGGAGATCATGATTTTCTTGTTGAAATTTATAAATTCAAGATGGCGGCTTCCAAATAATTTTTTGTTTTTGTATAAATGACGATAACCTCGTTGTTATCAACACAAAACTATTACTGTGACATATCAGCTGTAAGAGAAAAAGGAGTTATTTTTAACTAAGTCATAGTGAGCTATGACCTACATTTGAAAAACTAAAGTTGGTGATGATATCTCAAATTCTAGAAGAGTTGGTATAAATTTTATATTTTTTTCGAAATCACTTTAAAAAACTGTCACGAAAATGTGAAATTCCTATCTGAATATTTTTATAAATAAAGAAGTTACGGAGGAGACATGAAAATGATCAAAATCTGTTTTTTGGGTATAAAACAAAAACGAAAAGATTTTATCGAAGTCTTTTTTCACATTATAGTTGGCCTTGACAATTTCCACATTTGGTGTCATTTAACCGACCTCGTATCTCTCACCATTGAAAAGATACCCATGGTGAGCATGGTAAGTGGGACACACTGTATACTAGGTATATGTTCACCCAACCGTGCAAAGTACTGACCGTCAAGTTGATGTTTGTCATGGTTGAGTTCACATGTGAATCTTAATTTTTATATTACTAAACTATATAGAGGGCTATAATGGAATAGGTCCATTGTCCTTATTCATTACTCTATTACAATTCTTGAATATCTCTAAGCTTTCATATGCCTCTGATTTTCTGATATTATCAACTTGCTTAACTGATTTGGGGTTAGTAATATGCTATGTGCTATGTGTTCTTTGAACCTTGTTTGTATGGGTCGCCTGGTTTGGCCTATATATGTTTTTTCACAATCATTTTTACTTATATCGTATATTCCCGACTTTTCAAGTGTGTCCACTTTATCTTTCGAATTGCCTAATTTTGACCCAGACTGATAAACGCTTTCAAAACCTAAGTCTTTGAAAACCTTATCAAGTCCCTTCATATACTTGGGATTGAACGGGATTGGGATAAAAAGAACTCTAGAAGAATCCATTTTCGTTTCATTTTCAGAAATTTTTAGGCCTACTTCATTTTTTAGATTTGCTTCTAATATTGCATCTAGGTGGCGGCCATGATAGGATGTGTACATATCTAAGTAAGTACCTTAAGTGATGTTATATTTTGCAGTTATTTTATGCAAGTATTCTTTGAAAAACAAAACACTCAGGTAAGAATGAAAAAATGTTGTACATGCAACTCCTGCAAAAATTGTTTATTGCACTTGTTGCATAAATAACTATTAAACCGGCTTATTTAGACCTCAGGACTATGTGCTGAAATTCTGTCCAGACCTTTTAGGGACTCCTTGTACTTACGATAACATGAAAAAGAGTCATTCCGGTCCTGAACGTCCTGATAGGAATGTATTCTTCAGTTTTT